CAGTACGCTGGGAAGCTCTCAGCCTGGGCCCCTGGGTCCCTGTGGAAAGGACTCCACTGGTGGGAAGGCCAAGGACTAGGCTGACTCCCTGAGCATCCCCACCTCCCTCTGCACCCCTGAACGAAGAGTGGAGATGTCCCTACCGAGCGGCTGTCCAGCAGCCGGGGTGTGGCGCTGGTGCAGGACATGTAGGAGTGAGGACTAACGTCCAGCACTGTCCCACAGGGCGGGGGTGGGCTGGAGCAGGTGCTGGTGCCCTAGTGAGGACCTGGCTGTCCCAGCCCTGCTATTCATGCTGTGGCTTGAGCTGTCCCCTACCTGGCCTCGTTGTCCTGCCTTCCCGTTGACGGTGAGTGGGGCTCTCAGCTCTGCCTGCCTGTGGCTTTCAGAGTCAAGCTGACCCGAGTGTCAAACTCCCCACATGGAAACCCTGCCGGTCCAGCTCCTCTGGTCTCTGCAGCCTCCCTAGGAGGACACCCCGTGGTGGTTCTCCTCTTCCCTTTGCCTGGCCCATTTGGAAAGATTTAGAGCTCCCACATAAATGGTACTTTTAAAAGAATAGTTTATGTGGCCTGTTTGTTATTAATCTCAGGGTAATCAGAGCAAGGTCAGGGAGGCCCAGGGAGCAGCTGGAACCCCAACCCAAAGCAGAGAGCAAGACGGCCTTGTCAGGAGGCACGGGAGCCCTGTTGACATTCAGAAATAAGAACTCCGGAGTGCCGAGCTGCGCTGTGGTGGCTTAGTGAGGTGAATCCCACATGGCTGGCTGTGCCGTTCAAGTCAGAAGCCTGAAAAACACGCCAGGGTTGTGTGCGTGTGTGCCCAAAATCCTGACAGGAGGGAGAGACAGAGGAGAAGGGACTGTGGTGTGACCATCCCCCATGGGGGTGCTTTCTCATTTTCTCTTTCATGCACATGCATGTGTGTGAGTTTAAGCACCCTCTAGCAAATGAGAAAAAAGAATGAAAAGAAAGAAAAAAGAACAAAAGAAGAAAGAAGGGAGAAAAAGGAAAGAAGAAAGAAAAAGAA